CCCCCCCCCCCCCCGCCCCGCAGATTTATGCCCAACAGGGTCCAGAAGAGTTGGTTCGAGGTGAGAAAAGCCTAGCCCGAAAATGATGGTGTGTTGAGAGGCGACGCTGGAGGAGGAGTTGTAAGACCATTTGCAGAGAGTGAGTATGAGTGCGCAGGTGATGGAAGGCTTGCAGAAGCATCGAAAGGTGCTCCTTCGTGCCGAGGACATGGCAGTATTCTGTGCCGGGCACTCTGAGCAGCTTGCACCTCCTTTTCTTCGAGTTTCGAGGAGACCCACGACTTGCAGATTGTCGCGTGGAGACTTCAGGAGATGATGCAGTCGACTTTTCAGATGCAGGCAGTGCTTTGAGAGGGGGCATCCATCTCGCACGATTCCGCAGGAACTGCAGATTCGCATGAGTCAAGCGGCCCTGCTAGTGGATCGCGATTTCGACCTCCAGGCCTGGCGGCCTAGCAGTGTTTTGGTGTCGAAGCACAGAATATGTTGCACTTGAGATGGGCGAAAATCTGGCTTGAGGCTTGTAGAGCACCAGCCGACGACCTTGAGCATGCCCGCACTGTACCGCTGCATGATCAATCCTGCACCTTGAGTGAGTGTTTAGATTCAGCCTGGTGCATGCAGAGTCTGAAGGAGGAGAGCCGGTAAGGTTTGGCCCTTGCATTATATGCTCCAGCGGCATGTGGCATGAGCCTGTGCACTGCCAGAGCGCACGAAGTACTTCAAGCTGCTGCAAGGATTCTGCCTGGGCAGGCGCCATGGAGGTGCTTGGGGATGGGTCGGGGTGAGGGTTGGGGTTGGTCTAAGTCCGAGGCGCACAAAAGTGCGAGTCGTCGGTTTCTGCGAAAGGCTTCAGTTGCACAGGCTGAGAGCAATGGCTGATACTGTAGGATCTCAGACAGTGGACCGGGTCATATGCAGGACGCCATGTTATTCAGCCACTGAATTGTGTGCAAGAGGGGATGCATAAGGACATGTCGGTCACGCTTTCCAGATTCGGCGACTTGATGGGCGCTTTGCTTTTGGTCTCCGATAGCTGCAGAGGCCTTCCGAGCCAAGCGCACCCCCGATGGTGTGCAGGCACCGGTGGATAAGTTTCTTGACTTGATGCGGGTCGACGCATCAGCTTCCTTGCATCGATGACATGATGGAAGTTCCAGCTCTCAAGCCTGAAGGGTTTCCGCACATCCGCACGAGCTAATCATGTCAGGCGTCATGCTCATCGCGGCATTTAGCTGGTGCCATATGCAAGCCCTTTCTAAGCTCTTTCTCGCCGCCTCGAATTCTTGCTTTGCATCAGACTTCAGTAGAACAGCATGAAGCGCACAGCAGCAGTCCCACACCGTCCCTGCACTAAACGTCGGCAGCTCTGTCGCTAATTTGACAGTTGAAGTTGTTCCGTCTCTCCAGTCTCGTTGAACTTCGTTCACTATCGATGCTTTTTTTGCCCTCAGGCCGCTTCTCAGCAGGCGGCGGTGCCCTTAGAAAGGCGGCTGTAGGGAAGCTGCCTGCGGTTTCGGGCTTTCGAGAAGTCAGGCAGTGGCTTAGAGAAGTTGGATTGACTCATGCAGCTCTCTGACAGTTAGGACTGTCTCCGGCCTTTCGGTTTGCGTCAACACGACCCAGTATGCAGAGAGTGCCCAGATTGGCTAGCCATACCCGTCTGCTGAATGTTTTAGGACAAGCACCCACTGATGAGTGCGTTTCTTTCCACGTGGACCCGAATTAGGGGAGGAATTTCAAGTAATCCTTCAACCCCCAAATCCCACATCTCCAGGCCCTAAACAAAAAGGGGCCAAAAACAAGGCAAAACTTAAGCTGAGAGTCCTTAAACCCCAGGCCTTTTAGCTTTCGGTTGTAAGCCCCCGAACCCGAGGTCCCTATAAGCCATATGACATGGGAGGCTGCCGACGCTGCCCTCCGCGTCGGAGGGTATCGAGCAGGAAGCTCTTTGCTCCCGCAAGGGTGGGAGGGTTTCGGTTTGAGGGGTTGTAGGAGTTTAGGAGGGTTGGGGGATTCAAGATTTGGGGTTTAGGGCTCAGGGGATTTAGGGTTTAGGGTTTCGGGTTCGGGGTTTCACGGCTTGGGGTTTGCTAGTTTCACTCCAGCTTTCATTGACGTGACGCTGCCAAACGTCGCTTTAACTTGGACGGTACGTGACGCTGCCAAACGTCGCTTTAACTTGGACGGTGTCCCAGAAATGGCACGAATTGGCAATACCCATAGGCCGCATAGTAGTTCCTTTTTGTGGCTGATATTTAGGATCCTATTAGGTAATCCCAAAGAGGAACTACTATGGGGCCTATGGGTAGCCATTACTCTTTGGACACGCAGCCAAGGCCCGAAAGAGCCGCGAGGCGCAGCAGCGGGAAGTTGAGGCGGGAGCGGGCCGAAGTCGATAGGATCAGTTGAGGTTGTAATTTGCACCGGTTTCTGTGATGCAACGATGAGCACCTCCTAGGCGCCCCTCTGTGGAACTGACTGGCTCCACGGCTGTTTCGGCATTATAGACCTGATCCTCCCTCTATACCATACGGCTGTCGTCTCTTTGGTCACACTTTAGTCACAGAAGGCTTGTAGTGCGCAGCCCCACTGAAAAGTCTGATGTACCGAACCAACTTACATCCGCTCGCAAGAGCATGTACGAGATGCAGACATGGACACCTGCGGAAGTTTTTGATGAAAGATGTGACTTTGCGAGCCACTCCACACTTCAAAGCTTTGTAAAAGGCTGAAAAGGAACGTGAGCGGAAACGCCAGATTCGAGTGCCAGCCTCAGTGGTAATTCGAGCCATTGCTTCGCAGTCTGCAGAAGGGGCTCGCAACCTCGATCGTTCGTTCCTGTATTCGGCATGAAAGAGTCGGCCTCCAAGTGGTTTTCAACACCGGGTTTCGCTTAGTTTGCTGCTTGGCCACAGCAGTTTACGAATTCCTGAGTCCGCCGGTGCTTGTAAGGAGAGCGCGAAAGCATGCTTGCTTGCGCACCTGCCGAAATCTGGCATACAGCATCGGTGTACATCGGCCCACCTGCACCTACTTGTGTCAGAAATTATCCATCGGCATCTGACGGACAGTATTCTTTTTGGGCCGGCTTGATTCTGAACTGGATCCACCGAACCCGTGCAGACAGCGCAGAACCTCCAGTTCGTCTGTTATTTAAGACCTTGCTTCTGCCATCCGTAACGAATGCTCGAAATTCTCGAATTGTTCGCTACGCTCTCCGCTCCCGTTCTAGCTTCGAAAGTCACGCTCCATCCTCTGCAGTCCCCAGCCGAGGAGACCACTGCGCGGGAGCAGCAAGCCGCTCGACCCCGGTATGGGATCTGCTGGGTATCTGAACTTCCGCAGGGGTGCGCCTGGGTATCAGGTTGAGAGACGCAGCGGCCTGCAATCCCATTCCCGAGGGTGAAAACCTCGCAAACCACTAGTTTGTGGGCCCGGGGGCACACCCGACCCCGGCCCGACATGGTGGTCAAGCTGAGTGAAGCTTCTGAAACCTTGCATAGCTTAACGACTCGAAGACCCAGACAGATGCCCTTCACGGTAGTGCTTCATTCCTCGCCTTCCTGTTTCTAACAATGCAGGAGTGCCAAAATGCCGCTCGCGAAGCAAAGATGCTGGCGGACAAGGCTCACAGCAACACTGATCCGAAGTTGTGCTACACTTTCATTTTTTGAATCCCAATTCAAGCAAATGCCTGATAGGCCCGTGACATGCGGCTCCGGGCCATGGAGGCCAGAGGGCACTTGACGTTTGTGACCTGCAGATCGAATCTAGCCTCGGTGTTGGCCCGGAGCTTACGCCGTGTTAGTTGTGAGAGACGTCTTTAGTAACTGACAGCGTCACGGGTGAGTAGGTAAGTAAGCAAACGAGTAAGTAAGCAAGTAAGTAAGTAAGTGGGCAAGCAGGCAAGCAAGCAAGGAATGAATTACTGCAAGCAGTAAGTAGGTAAGTAAGTGAGTCAGTAGTTACTCAAGAGATACATTTACATGTGTCTGTTACATCTGTAGTTATGTGTGTGTATGTATGTATGTATGTATGTATGTATGTATGTATGCATGTATGTATACATATACATATGCATATACATATATAGTATACATACGTCTACACATAACTGTACGGCAGTAGTAGCCTGCCGGGAGCAAATGATGCTCCTAGTGATTGAAAAATGCAGTGCAAAATACCTACATGCTATACTCCAAATATGATTTCGTAGAGAGTGCGTTTGCTGAAGACAGTGGCCTTGCATGGTCCGTACAGTTCTGGCATTTCTGACCTGGAGGTCTTCTACTTGTAGTCGCATCTAGTCACATGCTCATGATTCTCACTCGAAGTCAGATGTGTAGCATCGCGAGCATGTAATGGGCTAGAACTGTTAGTGGCTTTGTTTTGGTTGTGTCTAGTGCGCATTTTGCTGGAGAGGCGACATCACCCGATCAGCATCAATCTTGCATTCGCGAGGCGAGGATTCGAAGTACTGAGATCTGGAATCTTAGGAACGGGTGTGGTAGGTCTATTCCATAGGCGCCTGATGCTGTCGTGCTGGATATGTGGCTTTGTTAGTCCCTGAATCAGCGGCATTTTGTTGCGGCGGGACGAACCCTTGTCAGGCCGAGAGGTACGAGGAGCAAGCCCGGCAGGCGACATGGGTCAAGATTCAGGGCAGTTTCGGACCAAGCCGACAAGGTTCATGAGTTGACGAGGCTTATTACAATGCTATGAAGTTACGATGTAGCCGGAGTAGGGTCTGCATATGCAACCCTCATGCCGGCACTGCTCAGACGGTGGATGCCACCCTCCGCCTCCTGCCCAGGCCCGTGCCCGCAGCACGCGGGGCTACGGTACAGGCCCCCGAGCACAGCAGCACGAATACCAGGACAGTCTCCAAAGCTTTTTGTAAGAAACTCGAAGATTGAGATACCATTTGCCTCCCGGTTTCGGCACTCAGAGCGAGCTCTGCTGTGCTTGGCATACAGGCCGGTCAAAAAGCCCAAACGCATGGACGACCGTGTTGTTGCTTTCATTGCGTTGAAGGAGGACGAAAACTGGGCCGCAGCCGTGCCGAAAGTTGGTGAGGATGCAGAGGCGTCCTTCAGCCTCTTTGCGGATCCCAGGAGAGGAGAGAGAGTTTTTCTTAGCGCATGGAGGCGCAGGCGCTGCGCCGGCGGCACGAAGAGAGGGAGGAGCTGCGGAGGGAAAGCGAGCTGCGCGGCCAGCAGGCCGCAACTTGTCGAGCCGCGAAGCTGCTGTACCAGGTACCAGTAGCAAGTTAGACCGGGCTCAGTGTACTGATGCAGCCTAAGGCTGTTTCGATTTCGCATCTTTCTTGTAGGATGGTGGGCGGGGCAATCAATGTCGTGTCGAACACCGTATCAATTCACATTTTTGGGTCTCGTGAGTTGTGCGTGCATAGTCGATGACACTGACTGGTGCAAACCGGTACAGTACCCCAAACCTGCCAAAAGGCCATACATCAGACGTTTGATGGATTCCTCAGCCATTACTGATCCTGTGTGGAGGCCAAGGAGAACGAAGCCCGAGAGCGTGAAGTGTTGCAGCATGGCTGCATCCGATGTGATGGTTTGTAATGTGCGCACAATTGCAGCTTCACACCCCGACTACAGCTAAAGAAGTTCACACTCTACATCCTTCCATCAAAGAGTTACAATCGTTTCCTTGGGGGTCTCCGCTTCAGTTTCCGTGGACTTGGGGTGATGCTGGCTGCTCTGTCGATTCGCCGAACAACCAAGGCAGCGAGCCGTGTCCAGCCTCGCGCAGGGTGGTGGCCAAGTAGCTCACAGATCTCAAGGCCAGCTACGGAGGTAGCGAATGCACAGCTGAGAATGTAAGTTAATCTGAATATGCTTGGCGCTATTGAAGCTGAAGATTCGCGTTCGATTCTCGGCCGTGGGGCAAGCTGCGCCAACAGTTGGGATAGCTTGTCTTCTGTGCCCCCGCCGTACCCTGTTGTGAAGCTGCAAGCATCCAAGAAGATTCGTTGAGCTGCTGGCACTGGCTTTAAGTGAGCCTTTTTGAACCCCTCTCAAAGGTGCCGTCGAACCCGACTTTCCTGCATCCTTTTCAGCTCTGGATTGAGGTTTACTTGCTTCGGTCACCACCTTGGCAAAGCTATCGTATCTTTTAGGCCCAGTCGCATCGCCGTCGACTGTGGAAGACCGGCAGGCGAGGCAAAGCGCCTTGGTTGCAATCTGACCAAGGGCACGATGCCCTTCCATGTGGTGCTCGCAGCTCGCAAGTCCGTTGCTGGTGACTAGCTTGCTGCTCGGATACTGCATCAAGAGCGTATGTCAGGACTGTCAGGACTGCAATTTATAATCCTCCTGTCAACGCCTGAAGTCCCCAAGCTCACGTTCACGAATCCTTCAAGGTGAGATCCTGGCAAACTCCCGTGCTGCGCCGGCTCGGGCATTCGAGGATGGCTTTTGCTTCTCTGTACGAACGAAGCCTTAACAGTAAGTAGGTTAGTAGTACTGGTCCCTATACAATCCTTTTTTTGTGGCATGGACAGAACAGTCATGAAACGCATGCTTCTGTTCAGCAGCTCTGGGCCCACCCCCAGTTCGGACCTAGACTTCGCATGCGATGAAAACCTCTGAAGCCGAAAACTACAACTTGAACTCCGTGCCACCAGTCCTCCAAGAGGTCGAGATACCGTTATCAGGGATGGCGTGGCCTCCCAGTACACCGCAAAGAGTTCACAGAAAGATCAGAAGTTCCACTGAAACATCTTCACTGGTGCCGATTATCAGGCCACTCTCCAGACAAAGAGCTCCAACCCTCTGCAGGAAGCCAGTCTCCGACCTGCTGCGGTGCCACCTGTGGCCACAACCGGAGGCTCTAAAGTAGCAGCTGCTTCCGTGGAAGTCCTCATGCTCCATCTGTGCTGGAAATCGCATACTGCAATGGCTCGGAAGTTCCAAGGGCCCCGCAGGCAGCACACTTTCTGGACGTAGGCACACCCTTGTGGTGCCTCGAGTTCTATGGGTGCCTTGGGGTTATCAGGCGGATGTCTGCACGGCCGTCCTCAACCCCCGGGAGCGCCATCCCGCGAGCTGCAGGATGTCGCGCTGTTCGTGTAGCCTGCCGGAATATGGTCTCGTCTTCTGATGCTATTTCGGCTCTGTGTGTGTATACCTATATACTTATAACTTATATGCATATAATCACTTACATATTTGTGAGTGTGTGTGCAATGTGATTATCTAGGTGCAAAATACGTACTAAGTCGGAACATCACGACGCCTGCTGCTCCTGCTGCTGCTGCTGCTCGTGCTGGTGGTGCTCTGCACAGCACAGCACAGCACAGCGACTGCGACTGCGACTGCCGCTGCCGCTGCCGCTGCCGCTGCCGCTGCCGCTGCCGCTGCCGCTGCCGCTGCCGCTGCCGCGGCTGCTGCTGCTTTTTCCACCGCCACGGCCACTGCCGATCGGCCTCGGCCACGGCCACTGCTACTGCTGCCACAGCTCCTGCTACCTCCACTGCCACGGCTGGTGCCGCTGTCTCTTACAAATCCAGCCTAGGCAGCTGATAGTGGCCACGAGTCGCCTGGAAGCGCTCCAGTGCCAAGGTGCGTCCCGGACAGGAAAGCCGCTGAGTTCCTGGTGAGCAGCAGGCTTGGCATAGGCCTGGTCCGGCCATGTTGTGCTCAGGATCGAGGTTTCTGAGGTTCGAGCAAGAAGTGCCATACACAACCGATTTAGTCACCAGAAGATGCCGAGCAGGCAGGCATACGGCTTGTAACTTACGCTTCGCTGCCGGAAGGTCGCCGCAGCGGTGCCAAAGTGTCCCTGGCGGAGACGTGCCTTGGGCAGAATGCTTGCAGTGGGTGTTTCGAGCTCGGAATCGGTGTGTCAAGAATTGGCCAAGAGCACCTCTCAGTCGAAGACCCTTGGACAAGCAGCATGCAGGGTAAGTGCTCACATATATTGTTGGACCAGGATCAGAACCATGAAAAACGTGCAGCATCGCAGAAGTCTAGCACTGCTCACTTCGGGGACAACGGCCTCCACCATGAGTTGTACTTCGTGATGATCAGCGCAGGATCACGGACCTGCAGCAGAGCATAGGCCCGGGTAGGACGAGCGAGAGAGCGCCGGCAACGCATGCAACGCGACATTTCAGGACCGGCTCGGGCCCGACGCTGCTGGAATGCCGGGGCACGCCCTTTGCAAACGCCGTCGCGAAGCTGGGACGTTGATCTTGTACGTGTAACTGACAGTATAGTGCTGGAAATACGCAAAAGTCTACTGACAGGGCATCTCGGCCCGACGGCTCTGTCGTGAGCTGGTGCTTTCTTGCGTTGCGGCAGGGACTCCGAAGCCGAAGAGGGTGCTTCAGAGTTGAGGGCGGCGCTTTGGACTGCCAAGGAGCTACTTGGTCCAGGAGGCCGGTTCCGCTCGCTAGGCATTCGGGACGCTTCATGGGGTCACTTGATGGTCGGAGGGCTTCGGCACACTCGTTGTTTAGCCTTGCCATGCCTTGCCCTTTGCTCATGTACAAGCCGCATACAGCAGCCACGTGCAGATATCAGTTGAATCATTCTGCCTGGGAGGCGCTTTGGATGTGCGGCTGCTTCGCGACCTGAAGAGACGAACTGCGTCCAGCAGAAAAGCATCTGCGGTCACACATACCCTGCAAGTCCAAAGCTGAAAGCGCACGGGCACATCGTCTCAGGCGTACGCGAGACGACGGAGCCTGTTCCCAAGCTTGGACGGAGCTTGGTGCAGACTTCTTGGATAGATTGGTGCGGAAGTGGAAGCCTGCATGCAACAGAAGCAGACCGATACTACAGATTTAGGTGCGACGTGACATGGAGCTTCTGGAGGAGAAGCTCATGCGACAAGTCCTGCGGCTCCAGGACTTCCGTGGAGTGGAAAGCTGGTTGCAAAGCAGGAGAGCTAGTTTGTGAGGGACAAGGTAGGCCGTGGCTGACTTGAACCACACTGGATTGGGTACATCTGGGCTCAGGGCGTCTCTCCTACCCTCTCGGCAGTTTGCAAATTGTCGGAATGCCGTTGCGTGACTTCACAAGTGCTGCAGCTGTCCGTATCTCTCAGTTTGAAAGTGCCAGCCACTGGTACAACATACGAGCTTGCGGGGCCAGGAGCAGAGTGAACGCTTCATGGACATCATGATGCATCCGCTGGAGGCGAAGGTGCAGTGCTTGCTGGAGCACTCTGCATGGGCTTGCACTTGCGTCGTTTCTATCTGGTCCGAACCTGCGTTGTCGTTCTGACAAAATCGCATAACATCATCTCCGCGGGTTTCCATGGAAAAAAGCCACGAGTTTCGATGAGCTCTGATTGCGATCAAACCCGCTTCCAGGTCGCAGCCATGGAGGGGCGACAGCCAGTCACAGATTGCAGCATCGCCGAGCCCGGGGTCTTGTCAGGGAGTTTACTGTGTGGGGTCTGTGGACTTAGGCTGCAGCTTACATCTTAGCCATCCTCACGCTTTGACACGGACGCCTTCATCGTATCCGACGGTTGATGCTACAGCTATGATAACACAGAACGAAGCTTGATGACTTGATGGCTCGGAAGATTTGTATGCTCGACAAACAAATAGGGCTTGAGGGATAGATGGAAACATGCCTGCAGGTTCGTATGTATGCATGTACCTACGTATGTACATATGTAGGTCTGCACGTAGGTATGTATATAGGTCTGTAGTAACTGTAGGTACTGTAGGTACGCGTGTGTGTGTGTATGTATGTATGTATGTATGTATGTATGTATGTATGTATGTATGTATGTATGTGTGTGTGTGTATGTATGTATGTATGTATGTATGTATGTATGTATGTATGTGTTCACACATATCTTCCATGCATCCAGGCATTCATGTGTTCATGCAGTCATAACACCAACACACACAGAGAGACTCTGACCCTTACTCGTAGTAGCGTCGACTGTTGTCCTCTGCCACAGCCGAAGGCTCCGTGGGAACCTCCGCGGCCTCCAAGAGTCGCTGGAGATGCAGGTGCAAAGTTGTGCAAAGTTGTGCAAAGCGGGCCGGGCCGGATGGAAAGGACGAGACACTTAAGGGGCTTAGGGTTTAGGGCTTATAGGGCTTATAGGGTTTAGGGTTTAGGGCACATGGAGAGACTCTGTGTCAGAAAGACGAGTCATTGACATGATAGCCCTGGTTCAGACAGATGCATGTTGTGTCAGCCTTTGTTGCTCATGGCGACGATGGATGTGCCGCAAAGCCTGCTAAGCCCAAGCATTGTTCCATGTCAGGGCCCGGAATTGAGGAGTCCTGCCCTTCCCAAGCCGTGCTCCAAAAGGGGCGGCTAGGCGACGAGCCACCAGCAGCAGTCGATGGAGACGATAGCAGTTCCCCATGGAGCTTGTCTGGCCACTGTGTTGGCGAGCTATTGCAAAAGCTGGCAAGGATCACTTGCACCACCCTTGCATGCTGTGGTTTGGCAAACGGAGCATCTCCTCGCCACACCAGTGTCGTTGGTTTGGGTGCGGAAGCTCTAAGGTGCAGGGAGGGAGCGTGGATTCCCATGTGCGAGAAGGTGCGCCGTGCGGAGCAAACCGAGACGCGCCTGTCCAAATGGCGGAAGAGTGTGGAGGCTGCCGGCTTGCACTTTCAGAGAGTGCAACTGGAGCATGAGCAAGCTCGAAGCCGAAGCGAGCCGAACTTTTGAAGAGACCGCCAACAGGAGGATCTGCAGCAGAAGCAGGAGGAAATGAAGCGCAAGTTCTCTGAGGACCTTGGTGAGTTCGAGGGTTGCAATAGATGCCTTGCGTCTCTGCTCTAGAATTCTCGCTTTTCGCTTCTTCATCCTACTGCCGGGCAGTCCGTAAGTCTCCAAAGCCTGTGCTCCAACCCGGTGCTTGGCTGAATCTCAAGACGGGCTCACCTCCTCGGAAGGCCGTTTCCAACTCGGACGTGGTCTCGCGAAACGAGCTTCTGGAGTTGGCCAAGCTTCTGAAGCAGGACTCGAGCCTGAGCCTTCCGAGCCTGCCCTGGCTTTGGGGTTGAGTTCAGAGTCTTTCATAGTGGGATGATGCACCTGTGACTCGCGACATGACCGCCACGACTACAGAGATTGTTTGCATGAGTACTTTGGCATTTGAGGAATTGAGGAAGGTCGTGGATGAGACGCTGAAGGACGAAAAGCTGGCCACGCAGCAGGCGCAAGCTCACACTCTCTGCCTGCAGCGGTTGTCGGCAGTTTCAACAGAAGCTTTCCATGCTTCGCTTCAGGTCAGGTAGATATAATTGTGTTGCAGCCCAGCCCATTTCGGCAGTTTCACCTTCTGGGCCTTAAACTGCGAGGACGTTTCCACGTCCTGGCCATCTTGCTCAGGGAGAATTTTTGGGTCTTGGGGCGGGTGCGTCATCTTGGTAATTTTGGTCATCTTGGTCATTTTGGGCCTGTTGCACCACTTCCACTTGCACCACTTGTGGCCAAAATGACCAGGATGACCAATATGACGCCCGCCCCACCCCTCCAGACCCAAAATTTCTCCCTACCAGGATGACGCGTCACCTTGCCTCACCACTTGCACAACTTGCACCACTACGCGCGCCCGACGCGCATCGGTTTAGGATCTGTCAGGTTTGGGTTTGGGATTTTGGGTGTTAGGGGTTGGGGTTTAGAGTTTAGGGTGTTAGGTTTTGGGGTTTTAGGGTTTTTAGGGCTTAGGGCTTAGGGTTACGGCGCTTCGGTTTAGGGTTTACAGTATGGGGTTTAAGGGGTTAGTGTGTAGGGATTTTATCGGGGTTTAGCGTGGAGTTTAGGGGTGCACCCGACGTGTGCATCGGTTTAGGTTACGGGTTTTGGGTTTAGGGCTTTGGGTTTGAGGATTTGAGGGTTTAGGCGTTCAGCGTTTAGGGTTTCCTGGTGGTCGTCTTGATCTTGGTCGTCTGGCTCGGGGAGAACTTTTGGGTCTGGGAGGGTCATCTTGGTAATTCCTGTCATCTACGTTATGTTTGATCCCTTGCGACAACTTGCACCAATAGTGGTCCAGATGACCAAGATGCCCCCACCCTCCAACAGACCAAGATACCAAGATGATGCATCATGGCGGTTCTCAACTCCCGGCACACCGCAGCATTTTTCTTGTTTATGAGAATAGCCTGATTAATAACATTGCTAATAATAATCATACTAAGAATACTACGAATGATCCGAATGATGATTATTTATACTGAGGACCCCCGCAGTGTCCCCAGAAAGCAGAGCCCGGAGGATCTGGCGAATGTGACGGCCTCCATGAGACGGGAGACTCGTCTAAGCGCTTTTGGTTCGTACCCTGGAATGGGTTCAGGTAGTTTGGGGTTTAGGGTTTAGTTTAGGGTTTGGGGTTTAGGGTATTTTGGGGCCATTACCACAAATCTGCAAGCTCGGTTGGAATGCACGGCCTCAGGTATACGTTGTAGATTCTTGAAGATGGGTGAGCACTGAAACTTTAATGCTAGCACGGGCCACTCAGCTTTCGGGACACATGCTTGAGGTAGCACACCAGACCTTGACCTTTCTCGTCAATAGTAGCATACGTCACCGAGTTGCGGGCTCTGTGTTTCCTTAGTGTAGCCCAGCAAACAACAGCGGCATGAGCAAGTCTTCAGGGCTGACTGAGGCTTGTTGGTGTTTCTGTATACTTGTCACAGCTACCTGCACGAGTTTTCAAAAGACAGGAGCTTGCGTCCGTTGAGAAGATTGCCGCCCCGGTCCCAGACGAATCTGCGAGGGTATTACGGTGTCGGTTTGTGACGCACCGTGGTGTGCTCAGCTTGCTCTCTTTCCCAGCTTGCCATAGCATAGCCAACACAGAGACGTCCGGGCTTTCTGTTCTCTTCGGCCCCTGCCCCTCAACGGCCCAAACCAAGCGCATCGCGGCATAGTGCCCAGGCCGGAGCGGCCGCTCAAAAGGCTCTGGGTCAACAGGACTTTCAGTGCATTGCAGCTTGACGGCCCGTTTCAGAGATGCCTTCAACGAAGTTTCCAAAATCCTATCGATACTTGGGGCCAGCAGCTCAAGCAGACTGCAAGTGCCACATGAGCGGATTCGACCGGACGGACGGATTTTGCAAGTCCTTCGATTCCACTTCGAGCAAGTGGCGATTCGCGCAAGGCGGAGTCCTTCCGTGTGATAGGAAGGTGTCGACCGAAACGGGCACCGTCAGTCAGGGGGTGCAGCAGGGTGTTTGCAGAGGCTGGCAGCTTGTTGCCTTTATTCCGCATGTGTCAGAGAAATCCTTTTGGGATCGTGGGTCTGGTGCCGCAAAGGAGGAGGGGAACCTCAATGTCCCCCAGGAAACGATCTTACACTCACGCCCTCTTCCGGCACATATGTCTTGCGGTGCCTTCGGTCGCAGGGTTTGACATGGTGCTTTCGAAGAAGACATGTCTTCACAGGTGTTGTCGGGTACCCGCGTGCTGTTGCGGAGACTTCGCTCTCAGGGAGTTCCTGGATGAAGGCTTTATCAGTTAAGTTCCGCTACCCTTGTGTTATTGCCACCTGCAGCCTCAGAGAGTTGTCCCGGATCTCGATGGAGGGGGTGTGAATCAAGATCTCGGCCGAGCCTTTGAGTGTTGTCAATGGTGCAATGTTGCCCGGGATGGGCAGTTGCAGACTGAACCATACCATACTGTATGCACAGTCTGTTAGTACCTGTTGCCTGCAGGGGGGACCCAATCCCTCAAAGAAGCTATGAGTGCTCAGAGCTCAAGGAGCTTGCAAATGCTGCAGAGGCTGTGCGTGCGGGTGCCCAGTATCGATGCCTTTCCTATCTTGCCTGTCAACATCTGACATGGAGCCCATATATGTGGTTAGTAACGGTTAGTATCTGTGGACGTGAACCGCGATAGTTTACCCTTGTGCTGTCCCAGACGACGGCTTTCGGCTTAATTGTAAGCAGGGGCCCCCCTTCTAAAGCGTTCGGCCCGTGACATCTGCTAGTGGAACAGTGCTGATCAGCGGACTGAAAGACTGAAAGACTTTGAGGTGCCGAGATGAAGACCTTGACAGAGCGCGCGCCGCGCCTAACGCGTGCTTCCCCCTCTGGAGATTGCCCGAGTGCACCGCAACACTCACCGTTTGGTTCAGTTTAGTTTTCGCTTGCCATCAAGGGTCTCGGGTCCTCTCGAGATTGTCCGGTTCAGAGGCCACGCCCTCAACCCCTAGCCCAAAGTCGTGGAGAGTTCCAGCAAGCTGCAGCAATTTTGGCACTGAAGAGCTGCCAGCTGTGGCCAGCTCCCACACTAGTGGGGTCGAATGTAGGGGCCTAAACAATTACCAATACTATTTTGGGGGTTACCTTATTATACTTATATTATCAAGGGCCCCAAAACCCTATTGGAAATTATTAGGCCCCTATATTATGATGATTGTACTGAGTCCCGAAGCTTGGGCTTTAGGTTTAGATGTGAGCCCAGGCGGTCGCAGAGGAGGCGCTGACCATGGAGAAGTTCGCAGCGCTCGACGCTGTAGAGAAGGTCCGTGTCTAAGCTTGTCAGAGTCAGAGTTTATGATTTCTGACCCCGTTTGACCCTTGTTGCATGGGCCATTGCTTCGTGCCTTTGATAGCAATTGCAACTCGTTGCTTGGCCTCGCTTGTCACAGGGCCTTGATGGATCCAGGGTGCAAGTGCATGACCTGGCACGAAGTCGTAAGGCTGATGCCGTTGTCCATGTGGCCGAAGCTTCTATGGTTCAAGGCGGCGTGAGTTGGAAACCCACATAGCTCCTGTAGCTCTCGCGCCACACCCTGCCATCAGAAAGCGTATATACGTGTCCCAATCGCCGAGGAGGATTTTCCGCCGCTTTCCGGCAGTTTTTTGCTTTCATGATGACAGTCTCGCACATCACAAGCCTGCGAAACGGAGTGGCTGTGCCGGTCAGCCACGACATGTCCTCAGCAAGCCCAAAGTCCAAGGATGGCTCGTAGTCTCGTACTTCTCCTTCCTCTCTTCACGGCTGCCACAGAGCTCCTCGGTGCTGCAAGCTTTTGATTCAGAGGGGAAAGAGAGCGACGGGGGCGACACATGCCCTGCCTGTTGAGTTTCGAGACGGCTTCTTCGTCTTCGTTCTTGAAAAACTGATTGAGGTTCAGTGAATTCAGGTTCAGCACTTTCCATTGCCGACGGGTTAAGGAAGTATGTTGCTGCACATGCCATGTGGAGGGACCTGGCTCTTGCTTCCATGTGGCTTGGTTCTGCGCGCCCGTAATTCGTGGCTAGCCGAGAGACGCTCTCTTCATCTTGCCATACTCAGGATATCCATTCTTCCAGATGCCCGACTGGTGGCCAGTGACAGCGAGCCTCTTGTGACCGGCACGCGCGCAGAGGTCATTCCCAAGGTGGAACTTGTCCAGGCCCGAACCGCAGGTCAGAGTGGGATTTTGAGGAACGGTTTGCCAGATGTCACAGCTCCATTAAGACGAGTTTGAAGCCTTGATTCGTCGGCTGTCCTGCCTTCTCTTCTGTAGCGTGTGTGGCTAACGGCTTGGCAGAGCTTTCTCTTTTTGAACCAGTGGCTCGTGAACAGGCGGAGCTTGCAGAGTTTCGTGGTGGCGGAAAGCAATGCCAGTAGCTGTCGCGAGGCGCATGCGGCCTCGCCGGTAGAGATGCCAGAAACTGTGGAGGACACGGGTTCGGATGTGAGGCTGCTCGCATCTGGTGAAGCGGACCTTCACGTTCCACAAACATATGCAGTCTTGCGTCTTCGGGTTTGCATTGAAGTCGATGATTTACAAAGCACTCCATCACAGGCTGCTCCGTCCTGAAAATGTATAGAAGTACCACCGGGACTGAAAGCTTTGGCTTCCGCTTTCAGACTTGTCTGAAAGTAATGCAGTGTGAAGGCCTACTCAATCCGCTGGAGCTAGTGCCAGGAATACAGTTCTAACGCGAAATCCCACGCCAAACCACTGAATCGATCATCAGCCTCTGGGAAACCGCCCCTAAAGTTCTATTCGAGGATGTGGAGGCCCGATGGCTTGGCATTGCCCTAAGTGGCTGAGCTTGCTTAGCAACTTTTTTGTGCACAGTTTTATGCGTTCTTCGCCACGCTGGCTGATGAATCCCATCAGCTAGGTCAGCAGAAGCATCACTTTGGTAGATGTAGGCCCCTCCGCACCTCGCCACGTGTCCAAGCGGCTCCCGTTTGCACTCACCTGTCAATGCAGAGCCTCAACTCGAAGCCGCCCCGTTTGCTACCCTTGCGCTGGTGAAGGTCACATGGGCTGGGTGCTCTCCGAGTCGCCGCTGTCTCTAGGGCAGAAGACCACCTCCTACCTGCTCGATGCGGAGAAGGACTCACACAGGCGTTCGCATAGGTACTTGTTACTAGCATTAGTCACGCTGCTTCGGATTCGCGTAATGGCAAGCAGGGAACGTCAGGGGTCTTGGCTGGAGGTGAAAGGCTTTCGGACCGGGGGCTTTCCGTGCCGAAGCGCACGAGATGCGCGTATTTCACTCGCGGGGGTTCCTTTTCCTTTAGTGATGAGACCAGCAGATCGCTGCGTGCCGCGCGACGGCCCGACCTTAGTTGACCGAGCACGGTGCAGGGTACCGAGCTCGGAGGATGCGCAGCCAGGAGACTCTTGTGAAAGTTGCTGATCCGTGAGACACAAATGAGCACTGCTGACATGCCATCCAGTTCTCGCAATACAGCTCCGGCTTACCCAGTTGCTCGCAGGAGGAGCACGAACGCAGCCCCCACCAAACGATGGCTCTTTCAGTGCTCCTTGGATGTCAGCTTGCTTGGCTTTGCCCTGCATGAACTTTTTTCATGGGCCAACATCCCAGCTGTACTTGCGCTGAGCTCCAATGCATGTGTTCACCCAGGCTGTCGATGCTGGGAGTGTCCGTGGGACGACAACACCGAGCCCACTCGAATCCTTCATCCATCCCGACCCATTCACACCAAATGCTTCTTGGCGGCCTGACAGAGCTCCTACAGTCTAGACTGGCTTGGTGAAAAGCCGAGACAAGATTCCAAAGCTCCAAAGCCGAGGTTTGGCGGCATCCCGTGGCTTCTGATTATCCCCATTGCGCCTGAAGCCTGAAATGAATCCCGCGGGGACCATGGGTTGCTGGTAGCTAGAGAGTTCCGTCGATTTCCGGGGTTGAGGGTCAGAGTCACGGTCAGAGTTGGAGGCTGGTCCTTGAGGATTGTTGGAAAGGCGTTTCTTTAGGCTAGAGGCCTGCCTGGACATCGAATGAGATTGATTGGGTTGCGATCTCTCCGGTGTCGACGAAAAGTCAAAGAGACGTTGGCTGGCCCAGGTGCTGGGCATGGCGCTAGCGAGCATCATCCAGGCACCAGGAAAGTTCTTTGAAGGGTTGCTGTCGCTTCTGCTGCCCTGGAACCCTGACATGGTGCTATCATGTGCTTTCTGCATGCATATGTACTGGTGATGTACGCCCTTTCAGGTAGTCAGCCTCTACTCCGAGTGGGCCGATGCCAAGGACAAACTGTCCAGAGGCGAGCCATTGGCACCTAGCTCAGATCTGACGATTGCACTTTTGGAGTAGCCGTGAAGGCAACAGGCGGGATCCCTTGAATCGAGCTAGTGTCGTCTCTTCCGGACGAAGCAGATATCAGCGCATACAGGTCAACATGTGTATAGCGAGTCTCCCGGAGTCCCACTGAACACTCTGCGGATCTTGCGCACTGTCGCCAAGGAGCCCGAGCTGGTGTACTGAGCCGAAGGGCCGTGCGAGCTCGTCTCCGACCAATACTGTCCTAATGCCAATCCCACATTCTGGTGCCCCGATTGGCTTGCACAGGATGCTTAGCTGAAGCCCTTTTCCAGCCTTGCAGCGGCCCGGAAGCCACGAACAGCGTGCGAGAAATTTGTGTGCCGCAATCTCGGATTGCTCACGACGCGAATTGCATTGAACTGCGGTTTAAAATCAGTTTGCCAATGAGCGTTCTTGGTGATTGGGACTTCCTGCTTAGGAGGCATTTGTTCAATATTTTTGGCCAGTGGCAGATGCAGACAGACCCTCAGCTTCGCGGCCAGAGGCCAGAGGGCCCTTCATTGAAGCCGCACATCCAAGGAGTGGTCCGTCACATCCTACCATTTGCGCTTGGGCACAGCCACTGTCTGCTCGCGGTTTCTTCGGAGTTTTCTGAGGCCTCTCAGGAGTCCCAGAATGCCGCGGCCGAACTCGCAGCACGCCTGGCGCAATGCGAGCAGAACGAGGAGGCAGGGGGAGGTTTCCGAAAGTACCGCAGGCACACGCCGAGCATGGCAAAGAAGTGCCAGTCTTAGCCAGTTTCAGCCGAAGATCCAGAAACTGGGCGTGAGCCACGCAACTCAAACACCGTGGCCCCGGGCCAGGAGTTGCGACTGGCACTTGGGTCTCAGCGCGGTCTTCCCGAGGTCGCGAGTCGTAAGGGTGCGAGATTCGTACCGTGGCTTCCGGCCTTTGACAGCAGGTAGTGCACTTAATGTGCTTGACAGCACCTTAGGAAGCCTTGAGGATCCGTGCTTTTCACCTTTATTGGGTCCAAGGGGCTTCAAGGAATATGAGTTTTTTCTCAACAGAAAATCTCGGGGCGCACACATGCCTTCCTGTCGACAGCCAACACAAAGGCCCAGGCAGTCTCCGAGCCTGCCGCAAGGTACTCGATTCGCAGCAGACGTTGGATGAGTTGGTTAGTCGCATTGCGAAATGCGAATCCTTGCAGGAGGAGACCGAATGGGCCGTGTTATTGTATGAGAGGGTTTCCCCAGGAAGCCCCGAGCATTGCCTCTGAGCATCAGCGTCGAAGAGCACATCGAGAATGCAGAACTGCAGAACAGTCCGATGCGATGTGTGAGATATCCCGAATTCGGCCCGGAGAGGCCAGAAAAGCGGTCGAGCACACTGGAGCCTTCGTGCGCGCGTCCTGGCCCTACCCACAGGATCCCCTTCTTTCTTGGAGACCCCCTCCAGCCAACTAGTTCAAACCGAAATCCTGGCAGGAGCTGAGCGAGCAAGTGGGTTCGCCGCAGCGCTTCAAGGCGCGGCGCGGCGCAGGGCGCAGAGAATGCGGATCCGATAGAGTCAAGTAGCCTTGAAGTCTTGAAGCCCCCTCCTTCCTCCTTCAGGCCAGTGAGGCCTTAGAGGAGTCCCACCTCTCACGGCGAATGAGCCGACTTGAGCAGGACAAAGGGGGAAGTGGAGACACAAAGGGGGGCTTCAGTTTGGCGGGTGCTGGGAGAATGTTGTCCAGAGCACCTTTTTCACAGGGCTTCAGTCTCGCGAAGTCTGTTAGGGCCAGCAGGGTTAGGGAAGTTGGCATGTCGGCATGTCGCAGCTAGAGGAATTTACGATCACGGGCGTCGATCGCTGTTGTGCTTGCAGGAGCAGATACAGAAGGGGCGCCAGATCGCATCGTCCATCGAGGCAGGGCGTTCGATGCTTCACCGCCTTGGTTGGAAACAATTTCGCAAGGTGGTTGAGCGCTTTCCCAGCGCCCGAGTCAAACTTGCAGCACGAAGTCCGACTTTCGGAGAGGATTTCCCGCAAAGTAGCTCATCTCCTAAAATGACAGCTCCAAGCTTGCATCCATGCTGTCAACTCTGTGCCAGGCTGCTGAACCCCTAAGCTGCAATCGGTTGCAGGCAACGCTGTGACGCTGTGTCTTCCAACCACTGCTGGAGAGGCCTTGGAAGCAGCGATGCACGAAGGCTTGGCGAAGACCGAGAAGCTCGCACAGGCTCCACTGCATCGCTGCTGGCAGCTTCGGTGCTGACAGCTTTGATCCATTGCACATCTGGTCCCCATCGTCCCATCACCCTCGGAGCCCGTAGAGCCTAAAGGGTCAATGGACAGGCAGCCTTTGCCGCTACCCAGCATCCCGTCGACGGCTCCGTCACACATTCCGAGACCGAGGAGGCCAGGTGCAAGTAGAGTATAATTTGAATTGCATAAGTCCCAGACAATTCAGAAAGAAACAAGGGAGATTTCGAGTTGCTGGAATGATTTCTCTTGAGGGCTGCTAGGTGTCTCAAGAACCGTGTTGACTTTCCAGATCACACCTTCGCTCAAGAACTATAGCAGTTTTCCTCCAAGCCTCTTTGCCCAAGCCTTGAGATCATACCGCAGAGTCACAGAAGCACATGCCGTCCGAAATTCCCGGCATCGCTTTCAGGTGGAAATCTCCTACAAGGCTTCTGGGGTTGCCTTGTGTTTTGCCTTGCTGACCGTTTGGGCTTCTTTGGTCTGAGAGCTGGGCCGTGTAGTGCCCTGACACGGCACCATCGAAGACTGAGCAGCAGGTCACGGCAGAACCATGCAACCGATGCGAGAGAGCGAGAGCAGGCTTGAGTTAGCTACGAAGACGCGAAGCGGACTCTGGAAACTGCAAGAGTTTAGCTGGGCACTCCCGTTTTCGAGCCAGAGTGAATGCTTGGGGGTTACCTCTGAGATATCCAAAGACAGTGAAACATGTACCTGCCTGGCAAAATTCTTGTCTCATTTGCATGTTCTGCGCGAAGGATGAAGTCGCCAGTCTTGATTGGGCACGTGGTCTTGATTTGAGTTTTACGAGCTTGCTCGCTACCCTCAGTGTTGTCAGCAGATTGCGATTGTACTGGGCTTGCTTGGGACGCCGAAAACCTTCAGTCAGGAGCTACCGACTAATATCATTGCTCAAGATCGGCAATTGCCAGACCATAAACCTTGTCTTCCCCTCACCACCTACCCGACTACTGCCCTGCCTTGCCCTACCCAACCTTACCAATACCCTACCCGACCCTACCCTATATTGGCCTCCACCCCCACCCCAAAATAGGTAGGGAGCGAGCCAGTAGCAAGGACAAGGTAGCAGGTGGGTAGGTGGTAGGTTTGTTAGGTGGCTAGCCAGCTAGCTAGCTAGCTAGCTAGCTAGCTAGCTAGCTACCTACCTAACCTACCTACCTACCTACCTACCAACCAACCTACCTACCTACCCACCTACCAACCTACCTAC